CCCACAAACTTATACCAAACTTCTTAGTGTTTAAGGGATCATTATAGTCGTTGTTTTTGCTATGACAGGCTAACACATATAACATTATAGAAATTGCTATTCTTTTTATGGCTTCTTAAAATGGTAGTGTTCCCATGATTGATTGTACCTCTTGGATGTCAGTGCTTCCATTTTTTCTTATTTTGAGCAATACAATAGTTTAACAAAAACAGGATAGGGGTTAATAAACCATTCTGGAAGAGTTATGTAATACAGTTTATATAAATATGAGAAGGTTTAAATAAGGAAAAGTACAGCAGCGGAACTTCTCAATTAATTAATTTTGTATCCTGTCCCAGGGCACTCAGTGGCCTAGTTGCTCCCAGATGAAGGGCTAATATTATTATCAGTTGAATTACATTGTACAGTTATCCACTATTAAATGGATGAAGTGGTGGAAAATCCTGTGATGTTACAAGTGGAAGACAGGCATGTCTGGACTTACCCATAACGTTCTGTGCGGTAGGGAGTATGATATTATTGTACAAATCTCAGCTAGATTCACTCAGAATTTGGGAATTCCGACCTCACTCTCTTTTCCTGAGATTGTGCTTTGAAAAAGCAAACAACCCCTTCTCTATCTGAAGTGACTGATCACATTTTTCTCTGCTTCTTTCTTCCAACAGTACCCCTAAAGGCAGGAGACTAGAGGTCTCCTAACTCAGCAGTTTCTTGTACACTGATTACCATTGACACCGGATCGGGATGATTGAAGTGGTTTGCAATGATCGTCTGGGCAAGAAAGTGAGAGTCAAGTGCAAGTATCCAAAACAGAAATATGTAATTTTTGAACACCTAGGGGGAGCTAGACTATATTTTCTAGCCTTATATTTAATATCTGTTTTATTTGTGAAGACTCTTGACACGTACAAAACAGATACTTAACAAGGGAAATATCTGTGATGAGAACTGTTCACTTGAAATATGAGCACAGATTAACATAGGTGTAGGCGACTGTGAACATAAGAAATGACTCAGAAATTGTCTTAATAGTCACTTTCTTTTGAAATAATGCTTTCTCCTATTCCAGCAATTTTCTGAGCAACAGTATCTGGAAGGCTTTATAATTCCCCTCGCTTGGTTTACTCCCAAGTATGGGATCACTCTAATACGTTGTCTACATTTGGACTAGAATGCCTGTTGTCAGGCAAGTTAAAAGTTCAAAAAGCAACAGCTCAAGCAGAATGGATATAAGAATGGATTAAGGCACATGCTTAATGGAGAAGATTGGTATAGAGTGAAAGTGTGTGTGTGAGAAAGAGCAGTAGACAGGTGTTTAATAATCTCTATACTGAAGGTAGTGCTTTTTAAAAAAATAAGCAAAAAAATAAGCAGGAAGCCTTGGGTCATGTGATACTGCACAAGCATAACTTTTTTTTGTGTTGCAGTAAACAAATTTTGTTCAAAGATGGAGAAAACTCTACTTAGGAGTGTTTTTTTTTATTTAAAAAATAGGTGTTTTGATTATATATGTTTAAAGATTACCCACCCTAGGTAGGAATGTTAAAATATTGAAATATTTACAATTTTTTCTCCAGGATTTAGGAAAACACATATAATGGTTCCAAAGATGTATGTGTGGGAAGTAAGGAAAACAGAGGGGAGGGAGAGAGGTGGCCGGTAGAAGATTTATGCACGACCTCAATGTGTATTCCATTTAATAATCTGAAAAAAACATTAGTCTCTTAGAGTTTATAACAAAGAGGCCTCCACTTGAGATACATTTTGCTTAACTGGTACTATTGCTCAGCTCTGATGACACCATTCGGGACCTGAAAAAGCTAATTGCGGCCCAGACTGGAACTCGGTGGGACAAGATTGTACTAAAGAAATGGTGAGTAGAAATGTGGACAGATTTCAAAAAAGAATGATACTTTTGTTTCAGGCAGAACTGTATATGGCATTACTGTCCTAGTCTAGTTCTGAGAGCCAGAGTTCAAGAGCATCATTTGTGTCCTGAATACAAGAGACCCAAGGATAATATATAAAGGCTGTCTCCCCCCCCTCCCTCCTGTGCAAAAGTACAGCTATCCCACTACATTTGCGGGTTAAGCATTGCGCATTTGTGGATGCGAGTGAATTTGCTGTGCTGTCTCCTGAAGCAGAGAGCAGAGTAGCGACAATGTCAGTTGCCACCCACCCTTCACTAAAGGTTTACAGACTTTGGTTGGGGGTTGATGGTGACTGAAATCATTGCTATTCCACTCCCTGTGACTTCAGGGGGCAGAATAGCAATGGTTTCAGTTGGCATTTCCCCACAAAAGTCTGCAAGTCTGTAGACTTTGGTGTGGGATGATTACAACTGAAGCTGTGAACACAAGACCTGCAAATGCGGAAGACCAATTGTATTTTATTATAAATATTTATTTATTGCCTCCCAGCCA